AAACATCTCTTTGAATTATAATTTTTTTTGCCATGAATAAAGTCTTCAATTAATAACATCTAATGGTGATCTTATAGTACTTGCCTTTTGGTTTGGATGTCTTCAGAATCACTCTTATAAGCTCAGGGACGTCAAAATAAGCAGCATAATGCAAAGCATTCATATTTGTCCAGCGACTCCGCAAACTCACATCTGCTCCCAGATCAATGAGTTGAGTTGCAAATTTTACAGCTGTATCAACGTCACCTAGAGAAGGTTTTCTAAATTATTTTTCTTCAGTATAGATTTTAAGTTCTAATGGATGGCCATCTACTACCTCATTTAAAAAGCCAAAGCAAACAGCATCTTGAATACTCTTACACCTCAAAAAGGTCACAAGGAATTTATTCTAAGAAAATGACCATATTCAGGGATATGATCAACACTTAGCTATAAAGATGTTCATCACAGCACTTTTTATTATGAGTAAAATTCTGAAACAACCTAAAAGTACAATAATAAGACATTGGTTAAATAAATTATGAGACATCCATGTAATGGAATACTACAGAGCCATTAAAACCAGTGCACTAGACCCGTGCTCCACAGGGTACACTCTGTGGACCAATGCCAGCCCCAACCTGCAGTATGTACCTTTTATAATTCTTTTCTTTTTCCCTATGCAATCATTTCTTCTGAATATATTAACTGAAATGTAATTTTATGCTTTTGAAAAACATCTGGGCTCATATTGTATGTCTTTATTTTTCTATTATAAACACATTTTTATCTTATTTTACAAAAATATCAGTCTATGATGGATTGCAGGAAGGAAAAAAAGAGTCCTTCACCATCAAAAGTTTAAGAAGCACTATATCAGACTACAGAAGAGATGTTCACAATATACAGTTAAGTAGGAGGCAGGTGTAAAACACGGTAAAGCATAGGAGAACACCAATTTTGGCAACTATGCACATATGTTATATATGTAGGAACAGACCTTAGACCTAAAGAGTAGGTTCTGTACGGATTGGGAAGCCTGAGAAACTGAGCATGGATTGTCAAACCTTGCTGTAAACTCTCAGGAAGGTTCTACATGTTACCAGTTACTCTCACCTAGCAAGCAGGCAGGCATGAAGCCTGTTCCAGAAAAGTTAGGAGGCACCAGGAAATTATAAAGAACCCGTGGGAAAAACGGGAGGAAAGGAAACGAGGTATGTGGAGGACCTAACTTAATCCTCACCTATTCAGGGAATATTATTATCATCAGCTAGGTGCCCTCCCAAGGGCTCCGGTTGGCATGAACATAGCTTACACAACCACAAAGAAAGATGTCTTAAACCACTAACAGGTTTACCACATACTTACCAATACCATGAGCTCCAGATTTGCAAGTGTAATGTAAAAGAGTCATATCTGTCAATCCATCCCTGTCATTCACATTGCAACCTCTCTTAAGTATCTGAGGAAACAAGGGAGAAATTATATCGACAAGAAGTCAACTGATTTCAAATCAATGCTGGGGAAACCAAGTTAGTCTACCTTATATGAATTAGTGTTCAATAAAATGAGTAGACAGAACTGGTTTCTCTTAAGGATAAATTTTACATCTGTACCAAACAACAATAATGAAAACTGAACTTGTCACCCAACTGAAGAAAATTCTTAAAGAGTATTCCAAAGTAATCTGGCACTCCAAATATGTTCCTTCACCTCTCAAAGGACAAGCAAATTTCCCTTCTATGGATATAATGGTATTTGAAAAAAGTATAAGCTCTCCTTACAACATGACAGTGTGCTGGTCAAAGAATCCAGCATTATTCTTTTATTTCTCTTTTAAAAAAATCAAAAATTTAAAAAAATTATATTTAAGCCTAGGTCTCTACCAAACTACCCCAAAGTATAGATAAGCGTGACAGTAAGAAAATCCCCTCATGAAAGTATTTTTTAAAGTTTACAAATTAATTTGTACAAAGAAAGAAAATACGAAAAATGCCTGCTCCACCAAGAGTCTATCATGTCAGAGTTCCAGGTGCAAGGAAGTGAGGGGCATGAGGGAAAAGATGGAAACTGTACAGGACCAACTCACTGCTCCAGGACAAACCCGGAAATACAAAGAAAAGAGTCAGAATCTTTGAAAGGTTTCCCCTTCATCACCACCTTTCCATACAGATCGGGGTGGGGGGGTCTATACAATTAACAATACAAACAACACAAAAGTTAAAAAGTAAGAATTCCTTACCTCATTTCCAATAACATCAATGTTTTGCTGGACCTGAGGAACCCACTGTCTTAAAATGGCAAATAATTCTGATACAGAAGTTTTGGGATCAAAGAGAATTTCCTGGCATGATGTATCATTAGGATCAAAGAAAGAAAACTCTGTTTGAAATAAAAAAGATATTAAGTTAAATTTATTAAAATTTCCAAATAAATATGTTGAAAATAATATACAGTAAGACCAGGGCTCAAATAACATAGATATTTTTAGATGCTGGGAAAAGGAAGTTTACCTTAAGCAATTCTCAAAA